TCCAGGACAAGAAATACCAAAGCAAAAAGGGATAGAAAGAATTGGTTCCAAAAGAATATCACCAATTCACAAATCTATTCCAAGAAGAGGAAGCTACAGAGCTACCACCTCGAAGACCAGGAATCGACCACGAAATTCAGCTTGACGAAGACGAAAAAACGGGAAAGACAAAAGTGATTTTCTATAAGAAGTTATACCGCCTAGGTGAAGCAGAGCTCGAAGAACTTAGGAAGTACATCGAGCAAAACCTAAAGAGAGGATGGATCCGAGACTCTTTCGTGTCAGGAGGATCCCCAATACTATTCGTCAAAAAGAAAGACGGAAAAATGAGACTCTGCGTAGACTACAGAGCCCTCAATTTGGTTACCAAGAAGGACCGATATCCACTACCCTTGATTGGGGAAGCACTGGACAGACTACGATCAGCAAAATACTTCACCAAACTCGACATCAAAGACGCATACCACAATATACGCATCAAGGCAGGAGACGAATGGAAGACTACATTCGCCTCAAGATACGGAATGTTCAAATACTTGCTTATGCCCTTCGGGCTAACCAACGCACCGGCTTCATTCCAGAGATGGATCAACAAGGTACTTAATAAGTGCCTTGAAATATGTTGCATCGTATACTTGGACGATGTACTCATATACTCGGAAAACATACAACAACACCAAAAAGATGTCAGCAATATCATGGCGGCAATACAAGGATCAGGAATGAAGATCAAACCAACAACATGCGAATTCCATAAGGAAGAAACAGAATACCTTGGATTTATCATCAATCGAAGTGGGGTCAAGGTCGACCCTGGTAAAATAGCAGCCATATGGGATTGGGCCAAACCAAACAACAAGACAGATGTTCAATGCTTTATGGGATTCTGCAACTTTTATCGGAGGTTCATAGAGGGGTTTAGCAGGCTTGCAAAACCACTCTATGACCTAACGAAAAAAGACAAGAAATGAGAATGGAGAGAAACAGAACAAAAAGCATATGATGCAATATGAACGCATCTAACATCGGTGTCCATATTGGTCCATTTCAACCCAAACTGAAGGACAATGATCGAGACGGACGCCTCAAAATATGTATACTCAGGCATACTATCGCAACAATGCGACGATGGAAAATGGAGGCCAGTGTCCTATCAATCCAAGACAATGACCCCCGCAGATTGCAACTACGATGTTGCAAACAAAGAACTATTAGCAATAATTCAAGCGTTAAAAGAATGGAGAAGATACATTTTGAACAATGACCATTCAGTCCGAGTTCTAACCGACCACAAGAACCTGGTACTGTTCATGACTACGAAAGAACTGAACGATCGCCAGACAAGATGGATGGAACACCTCAGCAAATACAGCTTCAAAATCGAATACCGACCAGGCAAAGAAAGTGGAAAGCCAGATGCTCTCACAAGGATTGCAAGCGACAAACTACAAACGAAAGAAGACGAAAGGATCAAACAAAAAACATGGACCCTATTTCCAAAAACCTAATTCAAGGCAATGGAGGTTATCCAATTCACATCAAAGGAGGAAAGAGAAATTGAGAACGCAAACAAGAAAGACAAAATAATCCAGGCAATAAGAGAAGCCTTGGAAGAAGGAAAAAAGGAGATGAAAGGAATTGCACTGGGGTTATGCCAATAGAAGGACGTAAATATGTAGTACGATGGAAAACAATGGATCCCGGAAGAAGAGGAGATAAGGACAGACATCATACGACAACACCATGATATCCGAACGGCAGGACACGGAGGAACGGCTAAAACCACGGAATTCATCACGAGGTCATTCTATTGGCCAGGACTGCGCGAAGATGTCAAACATAGGTCAAAAACTGCGACATATGCCAGAGAACGAAAACGGCTAAACACGTACCATATGGATTACTAAAATCAAATGAAGTCCCCGAACTATGGGAAACAATTACTATAGATTTCATCACGGACCTACCAACATCGGAAAATTGCGATAGCATCTTGGTTGTGGTGGATCGCCTGACCAAAATGAGTCATTTCATTCCGGTTAGAAAAGACATCAACACGAGAGATTTCATACAAACATTCTTCCGAGAGGTCTTTCAACTTCACGGCCTCCCAAAGAATATTATTACTGATCGAGGAACACTATTCACATCGGGACTATGGAAGAAAGTAACCGGAGAAATGGGAATACAAAACAGAATGAGCACAGCGTTCCACCCACAAAGAGATGGACAAACAGAACATGTAAATGTGATACTTGAACCATATTTAAGGGCCTATGTCAACTATCAGCAAGATGATTGGTACCAGCTGTTATCTATGGCCGAATTCGCATACAACAATGGAAAGCAAGAAAAAATTGGCACGACACCCTTCTTCACAAATTACGGACAACATCCACAAAGTTAGACCACATATTATACGATTAATGATGTGATACCGGATAAAACCGATATGGGGAAACTACACAAAACATTACAATACGAAATGAGTCAAGCACAACAACGACAGAAGGAACAATATGATAAGCACCGAAGACCAGATCCGAACATACAACCAGGAGATATGGTATGGCTGACACCACGCAATATTCATACAACGCGACCATCAAAGAAATTGGACTACAAGAAAATAGGACCATTCAGGATACTTGAAAAAGTGGTCAGCCAAGTTTATAAACTCGACCTTCCCCCCTCAATGCGAATACACAATACATTCCACATCTCACTCCTCGAACTACACAATGACAATAAGTTTCTTTCACAAACACTTATTCCTCCCCCTCCGATCGAACTCGACGGAGAACCAGAATACGAGCTTGACGAAATAGTCGATTCCCGCTTCTTCCACGGTTAACTCCATTACCGAGCCAAGTGGACAGGATATTCTCCTGAACACGATAAAACTTGGTACTTCGCACACAACTTCGAAAACGCACAAGATGCCATCTCAACCTTCCACCAGTGATACCCAGGCAAGCCCAGCCCAGGTGACAATCACATTCAACCAAGACAAAGGAGAGGGAAAGACTCCCGCGCCGTTGCAGCAACACGAGGGCTGGGGCGATAGCCCCCACCAAACCACATCCACCAGTCCCGAATACCCATTCATGGGACCAACCGATGAAGAACTCAAGGAAAGGGAAAGACAAGCACAGTATAACGCCATGTCATGGACGGTATGCTATGATGACGGTTGGCAAACACACTTTGACGACAAAGAAGGCTCGGGATGGTTTCCGAGGGAATGTCGAAAGCGTGGCCCACGCCCGGACCACGTTCTAAAGCATTGGCAATAATGCTTCAGAAATGGGTGCAGGATGCACAGGGCACAGAAAATATCTGCGGGATTCTACCCGCAGAAAGATGGAAGCAGGAAAGAGTTGGAAGGAGAAGATGCCAGAAAGGCATGGGCCGCGAGGACGCGGTCCAGGGAGGGAGGGGCCCAAAACTCTTCAGCAGAAACGGAACCGGACATCAGGAGCCTACACAGGCAGATCCGGGGACTCAGAGAACAACTGGGCCAAGCCGAGGCCACAATTTCTGCAAACGACAAAATAATCGCGGAGCTTAGACAGCTGAACGACAATCAGCGGCACACGATCGAAATGGTGAACCTGACTCTGGAATCGGTAAGAGTCAGATGGAGGATGGCTGATGAAAAGTTCCACAAGCTCATAAGGACCATGCGCTCGGCAGGATGGGATCTATTGAAACTGGGAGAAAAGGCCTAATGAGACTCGGGCTTAGGAGGAGGGGAGCTAATGTCACGAATGTGGCTTAGCGAGGAAAGGGTTTTCACGTGACACATGGTTATGAGTCACAGGTATGTTATTGTTTCGCGCATATGACCTATTCAGGTTATATGATTTGTTATGTGTGGGATTTGTGATGCTTTCGCACATGGCTCAAGTATGAGTCATGGGACATGCGCCTGACGAGTATGCCTTACAAGTGTGCCTTATGGGTAAGCCTTGCGCATATGATTTATGTTTCGCACATGACCTCATTATGATGTCATGGGTTTCGTGCATATGACTCAGTCGAGTCATATGACTTGTTTATTGCGTTATGATTGGTTTATGAGTTTTTGCACATGACCTCGCTACGAGGTCATGGGTTTTGCGCATGTGATCACTTTGGTCATATGACTAGTTTGTTATGATTTAGTTTCGCACATGTGACCACTTTAGATCACATGACTAAAGGCAGGAAGAACACTATATAAGGAGGCCGCTGCGGCAGAGGAAGATAGGTTCTTCACGCTTTGTTCTAAGTACTTTTCCTACTTATTACTTTAACGAATATAAAACACCTTTACGATCTTTATCTTTATTGCAACGTTATCGTTACGCCAAAGAAGGCGCTTTACGAAGAAGAGTTAGAGAAAGCTTACGATAGGCGTTCCCGGTAGAAGACAAGGGTCTTGTACTATCGGTAACGTAGGCAGAGGCCTAGAGCTATCGTAAGACAAAGGAAGAAGCAGACAGGGAGAGAAGTATCGTTCCCCGTCGCCAAGCATTAACTATCCAGAGAGGGATCATTACACAGAGGCTATCAAGGAGGAATGGGAAAAGATTTCAGAGGTAGAGCTTTTGACTTTTATTAATTCCATTCCCGAACAAATAGAAGCCATTATTGTAGCCTCTGGGGATCATACTCACTGGTAAATTTCTTGTATTTCTATTTTTTGTATATATTTTTTAATAAATTCTAATTTTTAATATACATTTTCTTTAATACTTCCATATTTTGAGTGAAGAGAAGTCTTTTATCTACTTGTACTCCAACATCCCTTTTCGGGACTTTGATGCTAACTAATTTTGCTATTTGCATGAGTGATCTAGTGTTCTTGGCTAGGATACCCCCTGTGTTCGCTCCGCACATCCTAGGGACTTGTACTTGTACTTGTACCGCCACACACACCGCCACGTTTGCCATACTTCTCCCGACCCACTTCATGCAGTACAGCACACAAGCTCCCCACCACCAGCAGACCAAAAATGGCCACCACCCAAACAATCCCCCAAACAACAACCCCATTCCTCGCCTCCGACCACCAAGACTCCAAAAAGCACCTCCTCCTCGCAACAACCGGCTCCGTAGCGACAATAAAACTCCCGCAACTGCTATCAGCCCTCTCAAAAACCTTCTCCCCCGAGACGCTAACAATCCACCTCATCCTCTCCCCCTCAAGCAAGAACTTCCTCTCGCCCGCCGACCTCTGCGAGATCGGTGCGAATCCGCTCGTCTCGCGGCTCTGGAGCGATGCCGACGAATGGGCCTTCCCCTCGGGCGTGTACACCCGCGAGTGTCCGGTGCTGCACATCGAGCTGCGGAAGTGGGCGGATTTGCTCGTTGTGGCCCCGCTCAGCGCGAATACGCTCAGTTCTGTTACCGTCGGGCGGTGCGATGGGTTGTTGTTGAGCGTTTTGCGCGCTTGGGATTGGGCGCGGGCGGGGATTGTGGTTGCGCCGGCGATGAATACGCTTATGTGGACACATCCGGTCACGAGTGGGCAGGTGGAGACGCTGAAGGCATGGGGAGTGGAAGTCTTGATGCCGGTGAGCAAGGTGCTGGCATGTGGGGATGAGGGGGTTGGGGGGATGGTTGGCGTTGAGGTGGTTGTTGAGACGATCGGGGGGAGGTTAAGGATTTAGTCGGCGGAGGGAGAGGGGGGGAAAGGGGATGAGGGGGTGAGGTTGAAGGATAGGTTGTGTCTCGGGTGGATCTTGTGTGGTTTAATTGAGATTTGTGATGTTTGTTCTTGTTTTAGGGGCGGGTTTTTGGTGTTTGGTATCTTTGGCGTACTAGTAGATAATTAGGATGCTTCCGGGCGCTTTTAATTGTGACGAGGCGTTGGGCATACGCGTATACGAAATATCTACTTAACCAACAGTCTACCCATCCTTGTTTTGAACCCTTTGAAACGCCCTGTGCCGACTGCCTCCAAGGCCCCATAACCCCTCCCCTCCATATAGCCCGCTTCTCACAGCCATATACTCTCCAAAAAGCCCTCCCCCGACAGCAAAAAATCCCACAGCCCATGCACACCACTCGAAGTAATACCAGCACTCTTTGACATCCTTAAGATTCACCTTCCGAATCATATAAGCCAAACTCCCCGCCGCCCCACCACAAGAAACCAAGTAAAACACTGGCCCACAACCAGCCACTGCCCCCGCACTTGCCAGTAAACCAACCTGCGCAGCCCCAAGCGCAGACATAAGATACTTCGTATACGCCTCATGCTTGACAACAATCGACTTTACCCCCGCCTTAACATCATCCCTAACATCTTGATGTGCATAGACAATATCATACACCACCGTCCAGGCAACATTACTCCCATACAAACACGCAGCGGTGGCCATAACCGGCCCATCCAGTCCTAGCCCCAGGGCCGGGAAACCCAGCAACGCACCCCAGGAAAATGCCAACCCAAGCACAAACTGCGGGTAATGCGTGGCCCGCTTCATGAGCGGGTACACGGTCACCACCGCCAGCGACGGAATCCCCCAGATTATCGTCTGGGCCGGGAACTGCACGAGCACGGCCAATCCCGCGAGTAGCTGTACGCATGTGAATGCCAGAGCATTGAACGGCGTTATTGCGCCGCGGGCGATCGGTCGGAACTTGGTCCTCGAGACGTGCAGGTCTATGTTGCGGTCCAAGAGGTCGTTAATTGTGCAGCCGGCTCCACGCATGATCAGCGCGCCAGTGGCGAAGAGGAAGGTCGTACCGAGAACTGTTGGAAGGGGAGTTACTGGATCCGTGAGGGTTCCAGCGAGGAGTGTTGACCAGAGGCATGGGAGGAAGAGGTAGATTGTCCCTGTTGGCTTGTCGAGGCGGATAAGCTCTGCATAAGGGATTGTTTTCCGGGGGAAGTGGGAGAGTAGGCCCGACTTTGGGGGTTCATAAATTTCAGGTGGGATTTGAGAGGTTGGTGGGGTGGTAGTGGCGGTAGTGGTGTTGATTCGAGATATGACATTTGGGAGAGGTTTGTGGCGGAGTATTGAGGAAGGACGGGTGACCGTTGTCAGATTCCGTGGGGATAATCGGGACGGCGTTCGATTTATTTGGTATATTGCTTGGCTCAGGGAGCGCATGCCCAGTCGTGGGAATCTGACAGCCATTATATGGCTGTGGACGAAGGGCGGTGAGGAAATCTAGATCAGGGGGAGAAGGAGGTTAGTAGTTGCCAAGGACCCGATTTGCCGGTACGAGTACTGTACTGTACAGTACAGTACAGTACTCGTATGTTAGGCCCCGGCATCCCTTTGGAGGAGAGCTACGGTACCGTAGGAGATTACTCAGGGGGCGTTTGGAACGGCAACGTTTTTAAGTTATCATATTATGCATAATGCCCTACAAAATTTAGTTTGTAAGGTTTGTGGTGTTTTGGCAGTATGATACGTGGAAGAACTAGGAAACCTTATAAAATGCAGTTTGGAAAAGCACAGCAATGCAAGGTTCAAGAAAATATTGGAGTGTATTTACTATCATAATTATAATAACAATGTCATAATAATATGTTTTCGTCTCCCTTTCAGGGTGTAAGCCCAAAAAACCACTTTTTATTTATTTTACAAAAGTTCTGTAAGGTCTTTGGCAACAAATATCATGCCTCACAAGCCGTAGTTTGGCATAGTGTACCTTGTGATACAAACGTTGGCGTGCCAAACACCCCATTCTTACTCCCTCACCTCCCTGAAATGCTTTCCACTTCAGGGGTGAAAGAGTGCTCGGTACGGGATAATCCGACGTTTACCATGTTTGAAGTGGATGAAGCGTGGTTAGGAGCAGGGAGGCATGAACCCTGGCAACAACGGGACTAACGGTCCTGGCCAGGGCGTGGATAGTGTATTCAGCCTGACCATCCCTGGTGCAACGGTGGTTTTTTCGTCGTTGTTCTGGACCGGCATTCTGAGGCTTATCGTAATCTGGCCCGGTCTTCAAGTGCCCATAAAGTGCGGTTAGCAGCGATGGATGGGGCGTCTCGAACGGGGGCGTGAGGTTCTTCTGTCCGGCGGCACTCCTGCGCCTTAGATGGCTCAAGACCGCCCTAGAGTAGGCTAGCATATGGTCCTCCTGTGTGAATAAAGAAAGCAGAGCCCTGTATACTCGAGTATTACATATTTGTTTGATGCTCATCCTTCCTTCTCACAAGAACTATTTAGAGGTGAAAATTTCCCTGAGCATCCCACTCCCTCATGGACAGCACATTGATACTGGTGGAGAGATTCCTGTGGATGAAAGCGACGCCATGATATTCACCGAGTATTTTCCAATATACGGCATCGCACCATTATCTACGATACCGGCGACGGTAAGGACTGCTATATGTTCGATGATGTATTCCAAGCTGCTAACACATATCTGATCAGGTGGCCTACGACGCCAATGATCCTATGGCGATGAACCTGGTTCCTTCGTCTGGGAAATATGGTATGATACTTTTCAGCGGATACTGAACCTAAGTGTTGAGGATTGCCCTACTGTACGGGTACAGTGCTCGTACATGTTGCACGGCGAGCGCAGCGTTATCGGAAACTTGGACATACCACTTTTACTCCTTTCTCGTCATGTGCAACTTTAAGGCGGACCGACGACATGGGATATCCCCGCTGGGATAGTGCCGGTATCTTACCATGTGCTCTGCTGGTACAACTTATCTGAAATCTATTCGTACTAGTACCCCAAGCCTCAGAGTTTGTGTTTACCGGTATCTTTGCACTGGGGTACGATCTGATCACCTCATAATCCACCTAACCAGATCTACTCATGCCCTGCCTTACACCTACCCCCCCCGGGCCAGTGAGGTACTCCAAGAAAGCTGGGCGGAAGGAGAAACAAGGAAAAAGTGAGCAAGTGAGGAATCAGCAGATATCTCTCCCACCTGTTCGAAAACATCATACAAGGCTTCCTGCCGGATATCCACATTGCTAGGAGCTGAGTGTTATCGCGCCGAAGGCTGGCATGAAAGGGACAAACCATTCCAGTTCCCTCGGGGTCCTGGGGGGGGGGCTATACAAAGTGCTATGCCGGGCGAGATGCCGGGCGAGATGTTTTCGTATGACAGGGATTATTTCACAGGTCAACCTAAGTTAACTATTCACCACTTGAGTACCGGTACTTGAGCGCAGTACTACTAGCAGCCGCATCTGAATTTGGCAATTCCGAAAGACCCTTTACGGGTCTGCGCAGTCCAATCCCACATCCTACACGAAAGCACCACACGATACTCTCTCGAATTTCCGGATTTCACCGTTCTGCTCTCTGAGACAACCATTGATTCATGGCTAGTGTTCGGTCTTGGGTAGCGTGGTGGGGTAATCTGTTCCTAGAGGCTCATAGATAATCACTCGTGGGACATTCACCCCGGCCGGCCACACCGAACCGACCACTTTGCTATCAATATCTAGCTAGGAAAAGATGAACGAAAGCTGTGTTCGCCTTGTTCCCCTACGTCAGAGCCTCGATTGCGGGGTATCGTCTGCCAGGTGTGCTTCATCTCGCTGTCAGCCTTCTCCGGGCTCAGACAGTAATATCGCAAGCGAGTGTTCCCATATGCCTTTTTAGGTACGGTATCAGCAGGAGATGTTTCCATGTGTGCGTTTAGATTTCATGGCTATAGCGTCCTCAGGCTCCGCATTTTCCGAAACTTCCGGGATCTGCCGATACCATTCAATTAGAAGCACCCTTACTCGTACATTTTGGTGGGTGGGGCCAGCGGATGAGGCTGGCAAAATTATCAAGAGATGAAGCATTCGAAAGGAATGGTCAATTGAAATTGGATTGCAGGTATATCGGAGTCGCCCCTAGCAGATCACCCTTTCAAACGAAATTCGAAATATTCTCGGTATGAAGGTACCCAGTACGCTATATTAAAATCGTAGCAACAAAGAGTATCAGAAGCAATATCGTATGAGCCCTTTGGGGGGTGGAATCCAGTCAATTTTTCCATTGATACTCAAATTATCGATTTATCGAACGGCCCACCACCTTACAATTGTGCGCTGCGCAAGGCCCCCGGATCACTCGATCTGGACTTTGTATGATAGGTATGTAGGGATAATGGGGTTACTAAAAATTGTGGATCAGGTTGTTCCCAGGTATTGTAGCTGCAGTCCTCAAGTGCCGCATCTCCCTGGGTAGATCGCTGACCATTCCCAGACTCGATTGAAAACCATATCGTTCTATTCATTGGCGTACCCTAGCAATTTCTCGATCTGTTGCTTAGAGGAATCCTTCGCGATGGGATACCGCGAGGGAACCCCACGGGAAGGTCTGGGCTCCGATGCCAGTGAACTCCGAGATGCTGGAGCCTTCGTGGTACAGTACTGCACGTGAGAAAGCTGAAAAAGGCGCCCAACACCAGTTTCTTCCCCTCCATGCACGAGGACGGAAACACCGGTAGACAGAACTCAATGTCAAGACTTGCCAGTTTTTTTAGGTTTCGACAGCACCTGAAAAAAATTGAGGAAAGGTTTTTCTGTTTGGAAAGCGAGAAGAACCGGAGCTCAAAAAGATTTTCGACCAAACACTGACGGACCCCCAATTCTCTTGCTTCTGAAGGCGGCACGATATTAAATGCGTGTGCAGGTCTTTCTACTCGAGTACTTCCAATCCGCATCTTTAAGGATAATCGGGGTAATATTTGAACCCGACGGCGCCCGATATCCCACTCTCCTTGTTTCCTATTTGTTACGAATCTGGAAAGAAAAATACGGTAAGCGGTTTGAGGACTGTTTTGCGCGCCGAGGATGCATGTCAACACCAAAGTGCTCAAACAGTAAAACTGACGCTCCCGGAGGATTGGTCAATTTGGCACATAATGCACTTTCTTATACGATCTCACTTTTTGTCGGTGAATTCCTCTACTCGAGTAGTTGAGCCGGGAACAGGTTTTCCACCAGTAAGGCGTACACGCCCTACTCGGATGGGGCTTTTATTAGCCAGTAGTTGAATTCCTTTCAACGAGGAGCAAAGGCTCATGTGGCGGGGATGACAGCGACATTGATTGTCGTGGGCAACTTCCTAAAGAGAAAAAGAAAAAGATTTCCTTAGAGAGGGATTTGCAGCTCCAAAATCCTACCCACTAGCGAAATACCGGTATTCAGGCAACACCGGACAACGATCAGCCTGGAGGAAAATATATGATCTTCGGCTAACGTACCGATGCATTTTTCCATGCAAGTTGAAGTCGCCTCGTACCTCCACGTTCTGCAGCATCAGTTTCAGTTTTTCATGTGTTTTACAACCCCCTGACATCTTTACCAGAAATTTACCACCAGTCAGGGTTTGATATCTCATGACGGATGCCGTGTTTAGCCAGGAAATCTACACCGAGCAAGCGGTAGACAAATAAGAGAAGCGATTTCAAAAAGAACTCGGAAGTGGTCGCATGCACCGATAACGAAATGGACATTCCAGTAATTATATTTCTCTGATACTGAGTTTTTTATAAACCAATCTCCTTGAGGTTGTCTGAATCAAATCCTCAATATAAAGTACCTGGAGAGCCACTGGGATCCTCAATCCTTTCGACAAGAACCAGCCAGTCTACTATTATTCTTCCCCAAACACATACCACCCCTTCTCCCACAATCTTCCATTCAAAATCCAAAATGAGCACCTCTCCGTACTTTGATGGTTCCGTCGTCCGTTATGACGTCCAGAGAGCCGGGAGGACTGGTGTAAGTTCATACACAAGAGAAAGAGATTTCCCCCGAGCAGCGACAAGATACACCAGGGGGATTAGTTACAATTCAAGAGGTTCCGATTATCCCTACGACCATTACGATTTGACCCTAGCAGAGCAAAGAGAGCTAGAGGAAATTCGGTTGCGAAACGAATACTCCCGAGCCGGAGCCGCGACCGTTATCACAACCGGGTCTCGGGGCATGCGAGGCGGTAGGACGACATACGTTACGTCCGGGCGGGCCGGTATGGGCATGCACCCATCATCGGGATACCCTACTGGCATCCGTACAGTCAGCGTCGCAGGATCGAGCCCCCACATCCACCGAGCTGTTCCAAGATACACCGATCAACCAGTCGATTACGCATACGGTGGTTATCCCGGCGACTATGATAGATACCCTGTCCAGGGTGTTCGTATCCCTGCGAGCAGCAGCGGTTTGGTTCGTCGCTATCCTACCACTTACGAGAATCGACGGATGATTGGCGCTGGCTGCGGATATGAGACAGGGTGTAGAGAACAGGTGGTAGTCATCCCCTCTCACAGGGCTCTTTCTCCTAAGCGCTATTATTGATTTCTCTTTTGTTTTTGGAGACGTTCCCCTCTTCTCTCTCCCCGTTGCTTGTTGTCTGTGCTTCTTGACTAAGACAAACATTTTTGCTTGGTTCTTTTTGTGTTTGATATTTGTGGTTATAGGGTGGATATGGCATTGGTTTCTAGGAAGAAGTTTTTTTTCTTTCTCCTTCTCTTTCTATCTCGTATTGCGAGCGGTGTGTTACAAATTTTACTTTGAAAATATATTAGAGGATGGCATGCTTGGGGGTTATCAGTTGGTCTGAGATATCGTGTTGGAGTTCCCTATCCACGAACGTCCGAGCTCCCGTGAATAACAACAGCATAGTATAATACAAGCACTGGGTAGAAAAAAGTCGTTGTTTGCTCCAGTTTCGGAAGAATTGCCGTAATGCCGTACAATGTAGGATTTGGACAACAACTTGCCCCCCACTCCTCCAACGAAGTTGCACTGTACTGTACTGTACTGCACGATACTCGTACAGTACAGTTCAATCTATGAACTACCCCACGAATCATAATCTACTCGAGTATTTACCCCTCTCTACCAGCCAATTGAAGTCCCACATTAGCGCAGCGTGTCAGAGGCGCTATCAATTGAGACAATTATAATTACTTGTACGACCCTGACCACCCCGGGCTAGACAGCACTGTGGCATGCCCACGTGATGCCACACGGCACCAGCACCCTTATCGTGCTGTGAATTTATGATACGGTATCATACAAAACACTCACGTAACACTCGCCGTCTGTATTGTACCCGAGGGTTAGGGGTAAGAAGCGGTTCTCATTGGCTCCTATGATCTCATAGGTCATTCGGCTAAAAGGAGAGCAGAGTTTTCTGCGTTTGACTGGCAGTTTTCCCCTCCAGAAAAGAAGGAGGAAAAAGAAAAAAAAAAGAATGGACACTTCTATGACTTCCATGGTCACACTCGCCAAATTTTGATTAGTTAAACTTCAGTCAAACTCCAGTTGACCTCATACATATTTTATTTTATTTTATTTATATTATAATACTTTCTAAACTGAATTAAAGTGACTGTAAACTATCTTCATCCTTTCTTAATGGTATAATTTCCTTTCTTTCATTTCTCCTTAAACAATTTTAATATTAATTTTCTCAAAGCTTAAGGTATAATATCTAGGTTTTGTAAATTTCTAGAGTAGTAACTAGTATATTTGCATTCAAGTAGTATATTCAGATAAAAATTCACTTAGAAAAGAAATCAAACATGAAATACTAGAGAAGAAATTATATCTTAGGAAGAATAAGAGCTCTTATAAATCTCTATACAAGGCAGGGAAAATATTCTTTCAGTTGAAATTATATCTGTACTGGTATAGACCTCGAAGTTTAATTTGTAAATACATAATTAGTATGGTAATTAGATATAGTTAATGAATACTTATATAATATAATATATAAATAGTGAACTATGTCCAACACCTTGTAAGAATGTTAACTCAGAGAGGCAGAAGGCTTGGAGTCTCTTTCTCAGTATCCAAGACAGAACTCATACACTGGTAAACTTCAAGACAGAAGAGTCTCATCTCCTACATCCCGATAGTTATCGATAGTCTACTGTTTTGCCCTCCAAAGTCTTCTAGTAGTTGTAATAATGGTTTGAGCCAGCATCCTGCTCCCTCCGCTGGGCCACCAATGCCCACTTCTCGAGACACCTCGCTCTAGTCCAAGAGGCATTCTCAATGCTGAAAAGGCTATCCAGACCTGGTAAAGGCCTTGCCTTTTCCTATGCCACCATTTGGCGTCCTCCCTCCTCGCCCCTATTCTGCTCAACGGTACAGACTTGTTCAACCCCTCAGCCTCTATGACAGATTGACTAGCCGTCTTCTGGAGACAGGTCTAAAATCAGATCACAAACTGTTTTAAAGAAACTGCAACTGATATCGTTTCCTGTAAGTCAGCCTTACCGCCCATCTAATGGCTCATTGAACATCATCAATGCCTGGCTATACTCAGGATGGTCTGCCTCTCCCCTGATAGAAACACTGACATGGCACTGCTTTACTAGTCCTTCCCTATGATTGATAGATAATCTCTTAGTTGGCAACTCTTGGCGGCTCTGAGTTACACGATTCCAATCACTATTCTAGTATTGGAAGTTATTCCTGTAACCACAGCACATTTCTGAATCCAGTTATAACACTCTATGAAGTCAATTAGCTTCTATAGTAGCGTTGCTCAGAGTTCTAGACTCTTCTGTTTATTATATGGTAGGTGTGAATGTATTAGTTTCTGGTTGAGATCCTTTACCATTCGATACCATATCTTTATGTAAAAACATACTGTTATGATACTTATGGCCTATTCCAAAAATGTTATATCTTTGAAGCCTAGTAGCCCTCTGAGTAGTTGATGAATTTACTCCATTCTACTTCTGAGACCTAGCCGAAGGTCCCCACTCATATATCCTACAAGCAGGGTCTGGTCAGACAAATAGTAGAGACATATACAGTGTTATTCTTACCCCTTTAATCCTGTAGCATTATAGTCATAGGACGCAACTGAACTCAATATGTATAATAATGTGTGAGCCCTATAAGGGAGTCGGAGGTGGGTGTTGAGCACCAGAGATTCCTATTCTGAGTGGAGTTACCCTACTTAGTGCAGTTCTTAGATTTCAAATCCCGGTATTCCTAATATTCTAGGAAGTCTCAAAATATACTGGTTTCGTTTATGACTACTAAGAGTAAGTTGAAGTAGGTAAAATAGAATTGAATTGTAAGAACAATATTATATTGTTAAGGTCTCTGTTCTGTTACTTGATGATGTCTAAAAGCTTGGGAGGTACTTTAATATTTATATTCCATATCTATATAATGATCCTACTCCTTTGATTGTTAATTCTTCAACAGATAATGATCTTATCTCTTATGTTTTCTCAATATCTTGACAGCTTAGAGAACTATTATCTTCACTATTACTTTTAATAATGAAAGCTGTCTTATACTTGGATTACTTCTGGTCAGTGAGACCTCTTTCTCACATAGTACTACGGGGAGTGTATATGAAGTATTAATTCGACTTGTAATGTAGGCAAAATCATAAGTGGTTGCAAGAGGAGCCTGTGCAAGAGGTTCCTTTTGTTTTTTTGTTTTTTTAATTTTTTTTTATAATTATGTATTCTTTGCTAAGATACAAGTACTCATGTGTAGCACTAGCTATGGCATAAACAAAACTTTAGTCCCAAACCTTATCCAATAAAAGAAACTAAATGGGAGCTTACAATCATCGTGAATAATGAATATTGCAAAGTACATAAAAGCTAACAATACAGAGAAATATTCAAACTAGCTAAAGAGAAAACCAATAACAGAAAGACCAAGAGGAGACCATCGGGAATTCCTTCTAACTACCTGCCAGTGGATGACATGTTGCTTGATGAGATAGGACTACTGTGAGTCCTAGTGTATAATGGTTGATCCCTAAACGTGAGTATTTCTGGGGGAAAAAATATTGGGGTAGTGGAGATGTAGGCCACCAATCTGAGGGGAAGGAAGAGAAGGGCCAATGAGGACCAGATAGGCCCATCTTCACTAAGGCTCCCTGCCCTCTAGAGGTGGAGAATTCTAGCCTATTTACAGGAGGGGCACATATGAATGGCATGATGGAATGCCTCAGGTTTGGTCTTGCAGTAGGGGTAGAGATATGAAGCATTTGGGTTCCACCAGGAGTGATGACCTACCCAGTAACTCTTTCCTGTCCTCATTTGGTGGATGCACTCTGCCATAAACTTGTCAAAGCCTATAAAGAAGTAAAGAGTGAATGTTGGTGAGTATGTGTGGTACAGAGGTGGTAGGTATAGTGAGAACTATTTGTGAAAAAGTAGCTGCCTACAGCCTTTCTTAATGGCCAGGAATAGAAGATCACTCAGGGCCATAGGGGGCAAGAATAAGAGGAGGAGATGTTTTGATGTGAAGAGAACATGGGAGAGATGGCCTACCAGTTTGACAACTCTGTAGGTAATGGTATCAAGCGATAGGTATCTTTGTACTGTGGATAACAGCTCAGAGATTCTCCAGTTCAGAGGCCTATAGACAGGAGCAAGGCCGACCAGAAGTAGACCATGGTTCTCAGGTGAATAGTAGGTTGTTGTCCTATAGAATAGCTTCCTGCATATTAGTAAGAAGTCTTCTGGAAGATATCTGTAAGTTGAATAGAGTTATGGAGGTTTGAAGTCAGATGACCTAGGAAGGTTGCAATTATGACTACCTCCGCAGATATAACCCGCAGATTAAACTGATCATTTTATCAATGACAGAGACAATTAGGGCCAACTCAGTTCGACTTGAGAACTAAGCCACAAGTCTAAAAAACTTTAATGATTGGATAATTACTATTGGGAACAGCATGGTTTCTAGTTAACAATATCTTAATTGCCGAAGAGGGTGTGGTGATTTTCAAGATCTCCAGTTGTTTGTATCTTTGAAGAATACCCAACGTTGCGAGTTATAATCAGAGAGGTACATAGTTGTATAACAGATAAAATGTAGTCTGTGAACACTCAAACATGGAATATAAATATTAAAGTGCCTCCCAAGCTTTAGATATCATCAAGCAATGGAGAAGAGATTTTAACAATATAATATTATCTTTACTATTCTATCTTACTTTACTTACTTTACTTCGCTCTTAGTAGTTATAAATAAAATGAGTGAAATCCAAGCCTTCCTAGACAATCTCTATCTACAGAAATAGAATCCTGGTTGGCCTAAATAACTCTGAAGTCTATTAGACTGTCTCCGCCTAATATAGACAATCTCTGTCTACAGAAACAAATCTTAATTGACCTAAGCAACTCTGAGTCTATGTAGGTTTCCTCTGCCTATCACTTATTAACTCTCTGAGTAGAAGCCTCAACTCCGCAACATTCCTCCATCCTACAACGTTTCACCTCTTGTTGACTATAGCAGTCTAACATCCAACTATCTCTATATCGCTACAACAGAGAACCGCTACTTTTGCCGATGCCATTTGCATCTAACTATTACTTGAAAATAGGCAGTCAATCTGAAAAATCTCGAAAATGTGTAGAATCGAATGAATGTTCCTGGAAAGATGGCTTGCCGGAATTCTTACAAGTGCTGAAAGTGATAAAAATAGACAACCTCTCTCACATGCTCAGGAGAAGGAATCGAAGGATTGAATTCTCGAGATACAGGACTGTGGATTTCTATGTCCTCTACAAATAATTCAGTTCATAGCTATAGAGATCATGATAACAGTGCCAGAAAAGAATTGAGTTGCAAAATTTATAGAGCGCCATCTGGATTTGAAGATTGTCAGAGCAGCCGCCCTCGAAAATGACTGCCAGATCATTCCACCTGAATTAATTGAAAAGTTCTTCAACTGATTAGTCCAAGTCCTTTGCCGTTACAAGGTACAATTACATAATATTTGTAACATGGATGAATTTGGCCTTGCGATCAACGATTCTTTACGTTATAAATAAGTTGTGATGAGAGCTATAACCACAAAATTGAACCAGATCTTCACTACACCATCCGGTGCTACAAGACTCATTACATGCATTAAGTGCATAACCTCTACTGGGAAATCTGTTCAGCCATTATTCATCATGAAGGAGACTGTTTTTCCAAAGAGTATCCTTCTAGGTTATGAACAACTTGTTGAAAACTTCAAATTCTACTTTGCTCGGACAGACAATGTCATTGCAACCCAGGCCACAGGGCATGAGTGGTTAAGAAAAGTATTCTTGCCTTATTTAAAGCCTTCTGAAGTTGAGAGGTAGATGCCCTGGCGAATTCTCATTTTAGATGGACATTCTTCCCACAAAGGCCAATGATTTTTCAAATTATGCTATTTCAATAAAGTTCTACCTATTTGGCTCGCACCGCATTCATCTCACCTACTTCAGCCTCTCGATTTAGTGACTTGTAGGGTCCTGAAGTAGTCATTTCATGATAAACTCTACCAACACATATCTGAAGACATTTTGAAGATTACATTCCAATTGTTCTTCAAAATTTACGATGAGGCTCGAGCTCCTGTGATTACTAAACAAAATTGCCAGCATGGATTTTACCATGCTGGTATTGTACCACTGAATATTGCTATCTCACTCAAGGCAGCTGCCTCTTCTGATAATGATGACAATGATGGCCTCCCTCTGCACCCTCCTCAGCTTGTACAGCCTGAATATGCAAATAAAAGTGGCAGGGAGATTGCCATCCTACTCTAACAATTCCATTGTAACGGCAAGACATGAGAGCTCAAAAAACTAGCATAGGAGGTGGAACAGAGGTTGGATGCTGCAGAGGCCTGAGATCGTACATTTTAACAAGCCACGCTCAACCGGGTTGAAACTCAGCTGCAGGAGTACCAACAACCTGCCCCAAATAATTGCCGAGTACCACCATCCCCAAATAGCCAATTTCTGTCATACTAGGTAGCTGCAAGAGTAAGAGGAGTCCTGTAGTCCTCTCCTCTATCATGAATTACATGCAAAGTAGACCTCATTGGAGGAGTACATTATGATGTGCCTTTGTTTTAATAATCATGATCAATCTCCCTATGATTTTATTTTTTGTATTTAGATAACTATCTGTAGTTATGTTTGAAATTGTAATTGGTATAGTCCACAGGGGTGGAATATTGTGGGGTTGTAGAACATTAAGGAGTTGGGACTTCTAGTTGACTGATTTACTCTATTCTACTTCCTAAACGTAGCCAAAGGCCCCCTCCGATATATCCTGTAAGCAGAATCCGGTCAGGGGAATAGTAGTAATATATATAGTGTTATGCTGATACCTTCAACTGTATAGCATTATAGTCACAGGACACAACTGAGATAGATATATGTGATTACATATGGGCCTTGTATGGGGGCTGGAGGAGGTTGTTAGAGATCAGAGATTCTGATTCTGAGTACAGTTATCCTACTTAGGATGATTCCTAGGTCTTAGATCCTAGTATTCCTAAAACATACTATATACTTTGTTTTAACCCTTTTGAATTAATATTATTTAAATAATATATAGTTTAGAAATATATAAATAAAACTAACTGTATTATAACACGCCTAAATTTATAAAATATATAAAACATTATTGGTAAGGTATCTTATATTAGAAAGCAAGCATATTTTATCTATTGTAGGTTTTAATTTTACTGATAATACTTGAGAACTAAGATAGAAATATTTTTAATATTACTATAATTTTATAATAGTATTAAATTCTAATATTTCTTAATTTAATAAACTAGTAGATATTTTCTTCCTATTAGAAAACTGTATTTTATAATTATTAGGTTCTTTTTTTTATCGCTATAGTTTAAACTTATTCTTTTAATACTCTACTTCTAAGTATAATACTAAGTAATTTAGATATCACTAAGTCTTTAAGTATAAAATAGTCTTATATAATACTTATCAGTTTACAAGATATTTAATACTAATTTTTTATTATTGTATTCAAATAATAAATTCTAAATATAAGATAGAGAAATAGTTGTCTCAAACTTTCATTTTGAAGTTTTTTTTTCAAACAATTTTATAGCCACAGTTTTTACTTTTTTGAGAAATATTCTTAATTCTTTTCTCTTAGAAATGTACTTTATTAGCTATAATTATCTTGGAAAGAAGTATTTTTTCTTAAACAGTGATTATAATTGTCATTATGATAGACTGCTTTCTCATACTAGTAGATATATTAGAAAAAGATCATTTCCTTTTTGTCTTCTAGGAGTTACTATATACGTAAATATTTTGATCTAGTTCTTAATAATTTATTAATATAAATGACATATTGAATATTAGAATCTCTATCGTTTTTTTTTTATATTTGATATAAATATATTTTCAATCTAGTATTTTCTTATATTATAGATTGAGGTGAAAAACCATTTATAATTTTTTAATAATTAAGATTGTATACTAATCTGTAGTGCATTTTTGTGTTTGTTTATTTATCCTTCACATTTATACTACTAGTATTCAATAAAGTAAAAAGTAGTATGATAATTTTAAATATTATACCAAGGAAGAGGATCTTTCCATTTTCTGAATTTATACTAACTATTATACTTTGACTATGTATTCACAGGGATAATTTAAGGTTCTTGGCAACGGCTTGCCAGCCGGCTCCTTAGGATCACTCTTGTGCTCGGGTTTTTCAGATGGGAGACTTGTAAATCTAAACCTGAGTGTCAAGCAGAGCCTGAGGTTGTGTTCCTTGACCGAGCACTGGTCTTGCCTCTAAATCAATCCACGGTTTTAGCAATAAAAGCACTCAATCACAGTGGCTTCCGGATTGGGAGATCCAGTTGTGTCCCATGTCAAAGAGGCTCAAAATTAAGGTTTCGGATCTCCCCGGCTTGGCAGGGATGAGTGGGGAAAGGCCATGGAAGCTGTGGGCACTACAACACTGATTTGATATTCTGGTGAAAAGCCTACAGAAAAAGGATAGGCTGGGTTCCGTGTCTGGTTGCAATTTTGTCTTGCAACGGTACCTTACGATGTTCAGTATTTATGATATGATATCTTTAAAGAAGAGGAGAAGGGCCATAAATGATAAGTCGAGGTCTAAGCACCCGCTGTCTACCGTAGGTTTGCTCCTGAGACACAGTTGGACATTGTCGAGAGCGTGTGCTGGCAGACGCAGGGTTAGTCTTCGCGCGCTTGTCCAGGGAAGGCGTTGCGGTCCGTCCCAAAGGCCAAAGGTGCGCTTATGGGCAATCGGTAGAGGTTGGGGGCACATGCAATTAACTTTCACTCTTTGCTTGTTCCATTGCCGTTGCCATACTCCGAATATAAAGGATATGATGGTCCGCAAACTCCTGCTGAGAAAAATAGTGATGTTTCTTGCCATGAGAATAAAAAAGGTTCATGGCTTACGATATCCAATGTATCGGGGCGCACATAGTTAGGTCTTAATAATATATCGTACGACAGCTTGACTAAGGGTTTCATGATTTTTATAAGTCCCCGCTTTGTAGGTAATGAATTTGTGTGCGAGGTGAACGCCAAGACTCAACAGATATTTCCTAATACAGTTAGACTATGATCGTTGACCAAAGCACCGTCGCGTCTTCCAATAATCCTCGCCCTTCCCGCTTCACCTTGCCAGTCGCAACCCTCACACCTTGCCTCTGCGACCCATCTGCCTCAACCTTTTCTTTCTTCCTCTCTCACAGTCAACTCATTCGTCAACAGCTCTCTCTCCCTTCCACCCCTCAACACCTTCCTTTCCCTCCACAGCTGTTAACATCTCTCTCTCTCTCTCTCCTTCACTCCGTCAGCAGCTTTCCTTCCCTTTTACTTGTCAACCCTTTCTTTTTTCCCCCTGGCTCGTTCGTTTGTTCGGCTTTGATATCAGTAATCGATAAAATTATCGGAGCTCCCAGAGTTCTTGCTTCAATTAATGTCCGCTGTCGGGATCCCATTGTTTACACCGATTCCGCCAGGTTTCGATGTGAAGCAGCTGGCTGAAGAGCCTGGCTCGCATTTTCATCTAGCCACCCGGGTCGACGCTCGCACTCTTACGCCAAATACGGCGGAACAATTCGATGAAATTTACCGTTCGCAGGTGCTGCAAATCGGCGAGCCACTAGTTATTGAAAATTGGCATCTGAAAAGCAGATGGCCCGGACATATTTTCAAGGATGAGTGGTTGGATAACAATCTGGGGAGACAGCGTAAGTTCTATGCTTTCCTCCTCCCTCTACTCCCTTGTCCCCCCCTCATGGCCCCTTGGTGGCCAATCCTGTAAACATTTAGCTAATGTTTTCTCACAGGTGTGCAGATCCGAGACCTCGTCAAAGGTAGTGATGATGAGTGGTCACTTGGCTGGTACCTCAGTAAGTGTGAGACGCTGGCGTCCAAATTCACTCCAGAGAATTACAAAAGCATCAAACGCCAGCGACTTTACCTTAAAGACATGGATTGTCCATCGGTATGGATGAAAAATCTAGGGGATATCTTGCCAAGAGGCACTTTCTATCTTGACGAGAATGCGGATCTCATGTCAGCGCTACCAGAGGAATTGCAGGCTGTGAACATGATGTGTTACGTCGGCCATGAAGGAACATTCACTCCTTGTCACAAAGAAATGTGCTCATCCATTGGTCAAAATATCATGGTTTCGGCCTCTGAGAATGGGAGATCAATCTGGTTCTTGGTGAAACCCCAGGACCGTGCAAAGTTGGCTGTCTGGTTTAGAAGTGTTCTGGGGCAGGACCTTGAATTGGAGAACTACTTTGCTTCCATTGAGGATTGGAAAAAAGCTCCGGTCGATGTATGGATAGTGGAACAGAAAGTTGGCGACTTTCTGATTATTCCGCCGGCCAGCCCCCATCAGGTTTGGAACCAGGGAGATCTTACAATAAAAGCGGCCTGGAATAGATGTACGCCTGAATCGCTCAAGGTTTGCCTCTCGGGTGAACTTAGCATGAGCAAGTTTGCATGTCGGGAAGAGGCGTATAAGGTCAAGACCATGGTGTATATGGCTATCTTAAAAATCGCAAACGAGCTGGACAGAGCTCCATCGAATGAAGATGAAGGCATTGTACGCGACTTCCTCACCTTATATCCCCTCTTTGAAGCGATAATGCTGGACGAGGCCTTTTCACCTGAATTGCCAATACCAGCAGTTGAAGATGTGCAAGCGGAATATGGGATTACTTGTTCGTTTTGTAGCGGAAACATTTTTAACCGTTTTCTATCCTGTCCATCCTGCCCTATCGGCGATGGCGATAATGCTGATTGTTACGACATTTGCATGGATTGTTATACTCTTGGGAGGAGATGTAAGTGCGACACACCGCCGAAATGGGTCCAACAGTATCCATGGGCTACTCTTCAGAACGACCACGAGAGGTTTCGACAAATTTTCAACCGCCTCATAGAAGACGAGCGGTTTGCTTCTATTTTGAAGCGCATTGGGGTGGGCAGATCTTCTCGGGAGTCGTTAGATCATTTAACGAGTGTGGAAAATGTCACCAGGAGATCGCGCGCGTGGGTTTCCCAGATGTTATCCGATATGTACACGAGATATCCTGGACAGAGAAGGGGGGCACGGGTAGGCAAAGATATTACAAAAGTATGACTTTTTTTTCCTTTTCTTTACCCCTTTCTCATTTTGATTTTACAAGTCTGCGGTTTATCTGATGAACAGCGACAGGATGAGGCAGATAACAAGCGTAATTGCCATGTTTGCAAAAACCCACATGCTCCAATCATTTACGTCGAGTGCTCAGACGCGGATTGTAACAAACGCTATTGTTACGGTTATCTATGGAGAGCACACTCCCAGAATCCTTACATGGTTAGCAACCTCCATACAGACCCCATATTGCATATAAGTTCTGATCATAAATTGGTTTCTAGATTTTGTCATCCATGAATTGGAGATGTCCTTTCTGCTTGAAACAGTGCACATGCGCTGCCTGCCTTAAGAGTGGTAGAAACGGGAGGAGAGCTCGCCGGAACAATCCAATCTGGCTCGGGTACAATACTCGCGCCGTCACCGACCAGAGGAGCGAAGAGTGGTTGACCACCTTTGCCCAACACAATAAAAAATGGGCGACCTCAGGCGGTGACGGTGATAGTGCCTCTCAGAAGAGAAAGAGATCGGACGGCAGTGGCGAAGACAGTGACGCGGACGCTGACAGCAATAGCAGCAGCGGCGACAATGAGGTTGAGGTTGAGGACAGAGAGGGTATTAGTGATGAGGATGATGTTATGGACGACGATGAAGGCCGAGAATGGGAGGGGCCCGGTATGTAGCCTGGCTCAAATGCCCCCCAAACTCCCCAAGTGTTAACAGTTGATCAAAGGCAAGCATCCTAGCCTCCTCGAATTTCCATCAGCGGTTGGAGTGAGAGGAGGTGATCCTTCTTTCATTTCTGGTAAGAGAAGTACCAATGTTAACCTTCTCGCATCACAGCTAGCTATCCTCGCCCGTGAGTGCGGTCCTTCAACTGGAGAAACCGATGGTAAAGGGGAGGGCATAGATACTATAGGGGGGAGGGGGCGGGATCAAAATAATTCTTTAGCACTATTTGATAACCATAGCTTAGAAAACAATACTATCGCTAGTCCTCTTTGTCCCGGCCTTGATAACTCAGCTTTACGGTCGGACAACCTCTCTCAACTCGAGATGGACCCACAGGCATTTAGAATCGCCGCGGGACTCTTAACGGTAGAAGATAATATGCCCGCTTCTCTCGCACAGCAGCCTTCAACGGTCTCGCCCGAAGCACTATCACTCCCACTACTCCTAACTGGACCTGCGAGGCTCGAGGTAGAGCGCATTGTAAAATCACCCACACCGGAACCAATTGAGACAAAAGCAGGCTGGGTCAAGAAGGCAAAATTAGCCAGGAAAAGGTTCGCGAACCTCCAGGCGGGAAAAAACAGGCGGAAGAGTTTGATTGTTAAACTCAAGGTCACGGTCGAGGAGTGGGAAGAGACACCAGTTCGGTCTGATGTACCGCCGAAGAAGATTGTCTCTGAAGAGAGAAAAAAAGAGGATGAAGCCCTCATTGTACAGCCTACTTCACCACCACAACAGCATCAAGGAGAGAGTCCATTGGAGGATGACGTTGAGGAATCCGCTGAGGATATACCCTCCGATGGCCCCCCGAGCCGACGAAAGGCAGTGCCAAGGGATGGTGCGTACGTTGCTAGAAACCGCACGGGCAATCCCCCAGCGCCATTAATGGCACTCTCCTCCGTCCGATCAAGACGACGAAGTCAATCCCTCCAAGGTAGCGCCCGCAATCACAGCGCCCACAGCAGCAAGCACACACCCTCGCTCGAACAAGCCTCAACCCCCGCCCCACCTCCTCTCCTTTCTCCTCCCCCCCCTCCGCCATTGACCAGCCTAATACCTGCCGACTGGCCCTTTGCCATAATAATCACCAAAAAGCCCGAACGCCGCAAGTATCCCAAAACGACTACCACTAGGCGCCCTCGTGGCCGACCGCGCAAGGCCCAACCAACCGGCAGAGCACGAGAGGATGGAGACTTCAAACTCGCGTCCTGGTCGAAGGCGATGAAGGCAGAGAGCACGACTCTTACGAAGGGGTCTGTCCGACCACGTGTGGCTAGCACGGCTTTCGCGGAAGGCGTGGAAGAATCATCAGAGGATGATGAACCGAGTTGCTACGTAGAGAGGAGCCCGCGGCCAGTTTCCGTGGATAGTGGTGAGGAGGGAGACAGAGAAGGGCCCAGGAGTGAGAGGACAGCGGTTGAGAAGGGGGGAGCACGGAAGCAGCGGAAGATGGAGCCGAAAGAGGAGGAAGTAGGGGAGGGGCGAGGTGGAGATTACGACGAGGAGGATGAGTACAATCGTAGGTGGTCTAGGAGGAGGTTGTTTCAGTAGTACGGTGTGATTATGGCTTGACTCGTGGGTAGGTCTTGCTTGCTTGCTTGGACGGGTTGTATTAAAGTTGAATTTCCTTGCTCGTTCTTTCTCTCCCCCCTTTTTTCCATTCCTTCTGATTGTATGTAATTAACTTGCTTGATTTCTCAATTGATCTATATATTCTTTTCCACACACCTCTTTGTGCATGCGCGCAGTGCATATAGTACATAGTCTAGTGCTCGAGAGTAATGTTCCAAGTGTCACCACGACACATTGGCAAATTTTCCCGTCCGCCCGCTCTATCAGAGGCCAGAGGATTCCACTTCCATCGCATAACAATACCCGTAAAGAACACTCTTGCCGAACTTTTCTATCTTGTGGTGTATTTTTTATTTTTTATTGCTATTCTTCGCAAAAAGGGTCGGACGGTTGAGAGTAGCACCGATGTTCCTAAGCGTGGGTTTGGTATGATACCATAGTTCTTACGTGCTTGTGGTCATGGTGTGTGATTCGGTGGAAGGGGGGTGGCTGGTTTATCGAAGTACAAGTTTAACCTACAGTGTCCACCTACTTACTGAAGTCACCATATCGTGCAAATCGCTTAAAACTGAAAATCAAATAGAGTGTATAATACACGAACTTTCAAGTTTTACAAATATCAAACCGTGGATATTTTTCTTTCTTCTTTCCTTTGCAGGAAATGAAAATATACCGGATTATAGCTAGCGCTGTTTGAAAGATTTTGTGCTTTTACTTGTACTCGTAAAGGTGAGGGTGAGAGGGATAAAGCTTCCGGTTATTTCGAAGCGGAGTAAACGGGTGCGTACGGGGGAGTACAGTACGTACGTACCGGTACAGTACAGCACTGTACAATACTGTACGAGTACAATTCTTGGAAGGCAGAAAGTCACAAAGTATTGTACGAGTGGGCTACAGTACCCGCCAACTGCGAAAACACTTATCATACCCCACCTCGGAAACTTACCGGCGCTCGTACAGTATTACTGTGCAGTGCCGGTACGACAAAAGGGATGTTCCTCTCCCCGCCCAATACGGGAGAGAATGATAATTAATTGCAAGCCTATGGAGCCATTTCAATACCCGGACTCCTGGAATTTCGTCCAGCAAATAATGAACAACTTATGTGCATTCCAACCTGTCAGTTTCTGGATCATGTCATACTTTTTTGTACGGCCTGACACATTTCTTCCATTTGTTACATACAGGTGGGCGGTATCTGCTTTGCTGCATGCAACTGCTACTGCTTGAGAATCCATCGTACTGTACTGTACTGTACTGTACTGCACATTCTTGGTAATACTGATATGGAAGAGTAATTGGCTTCTTCTTCTTCTTCTTTGGATCAATCTGGAGAGATTTTATGTCCCGTCTTGTGGGGATGTCATCATCTACTGTATTTGTAAATCCTCTGGTGGTATTGTACTCGCATCCGTGGTGTTCATGATGAAGGGGTCGGTCACGGTGGTTTGGTTGAAGACTTGGGTGGGTTAGGTGGGATGCACCGGTTGGAGAGGTGATGTGACACTCATGGCTTTGGACGCTGGGATTGTACGAGTACTGTACTGTACTGTACTGTACAAGGTCGTGGGAAAAGGTAGACTATGGCTAAGTCTTGACTGTCAAAGCAAAGCGATATTCTGTTAATTTAGCCACATTCGCCATACCTCCGTACAAGTCCAGTACCGTACTGTACTTCTGTTGACTTACGGTGAGTTTAGTGCTGTTGGGCTTGGTCCCTCTTCTTCGTTGTGCCGCTGGCTTCTTCTTCTGGTGATTTCATGACGCCTTACTGTATAGATACAGTACTGCATACGGGGCGGTGGTACTACTCTATTCTATTATACTCTACTCACTCAACAGCCGCCCTGAAGGTAGACTATGCCGTATGTCTTGGTTGGCGACTCGAAAATCAATTTTGTGGTTGAAAAAAAAAAAAAAAAAAAACCTTGTATCACACTTGTATCATACAACTTTAGCCTAGGGAACTGTAAGCTGTTGGTGTTATCAAACCTTCCCCGAGTTATAGCGCCACGGCTGGTACTATTAGGCCTTTTTATCGGGAGCATTATACGGTGGAAGGATCACTGCTCAAGATGGTGACAGAGTTGAATGGGTGGAAAGTTTACGGACACATACAGTCCAAGATTTTTTTTTTTCCTTTTACTTTGGCCTATGCCCTATGCTGTCCGAGCCCGAGTAAACCACCACCGGCAGTACTTGCACAGTACAGTGCGGTACAGTGCAAAATCATGAAGGATGAATAACAAACCCGAATAACAGCCTGACCGGTTCTTCCCGGTAAAGTACTGTACTGTACTGTACAGTGCAAGTACGAAATCCCCCCCCCCCCACTCACATCGGTACAGTACCTTACCAAATCCTTCCTTGCATCACAAGGGAACCAAAAATCCCTTGCCGTACAATAACAGTAATCGAGTACAGAGCAGTGCAGTGCAATGCAGTGCCATGGCTTCTATCTAATAGATCCGCTTTATCGTACCGAGCGATAGTCATGGAGGTGTGTGGAATATTTGAATTCCTAAAGCCTGGTTTCAAGCAAGGGTGATGAAAGATTGCGCAAGGGGGTGCTTAAGCGCAGAGGATACCGTAAGTACTGTACAAGTCTAACTGTCTAAGTTTGTGTTACTGAGAATTTGGATTGGAGGGGTTGGTTTTTTGTGTTCTGCCTTAGTACCGGTTAGTTTACAGGTAACTGCGCTGAACTGTACAGTACAGTACTCGGATGTGATTATGATATCTGAACTAACCATGATGAACTCACGAACTCATAAGAACGGCAAATTATGTTTCCAATCGCTTTGCGGCACTTGCGAGCCCAAGACCCCCCCCCCCCCTTCCCGGAGACTGATATGACACTTTACCCCGCCACTTCTACCGGTACTTGTACTTGTCCGAGGCACTAAGTAACTTGTACGACGAGTACAGTACAGTACAAGTACAAGCACAGTATCCGAAAACATGGATTAGCGGAAACGTAAATGTAGAAAACCCATGAGTATCTGAGCTCCTCACCATACAAACCCCACAACTCGTATCTGCGCATACCGTACCGTACTTCCGGCCTGTGACAAATTAGAGCGCTTGTCAATGGCGGGGAATGGATCACAACCGACATCTAATCCCACTCAGGTGTTGGGGTACTGTTACCGGTACAACACCGCGGGATGGAAGGTACAGTACTTGTAGAATCACCGTACCCGGCATCCAAGGGAGAAGTGGAAATACCAGTTTCGAGCATGGTATGTAGTGTACTTTATAACCGCTCTGTGCTTGTATCGATTGCCTAATGCACGGCGGCAAAGTGCTGTACTTGTACCGGCGTTTATTAGGGGCTTTTCTGTTTCGCGTCTAAAGCTTTTTCGCATAGTCCCTTTGTACTCGAGTACGAGTTACAGTGTTTGAACATTAGATAAGCTGTGGCACGCATGAGTGTTGTATGATAGTATCAGACTAGGACGTGAACCCATTTTTGTTTGGATTGGGAGGCGGGAGTGGGAGGCATGCTTGAAGGGCGTGATAATTCAAGTTTTCACACACATCTAATCATTTGCGGTACCGTAGGTGGTTTAGATTATCCCCATAGGAATGAGATGCTATTGCAGTACACTCGTGAGGTCGAGCACTTTCAGGACCCGGTATTGGGGAATAAAAAATAAAAATAATCCCCCTCAAGAGTAATCCAACTACCGACTACATTCTCAAGGGAGAGAAGAAGAAAAAAAAATACTCAGGTAGATTATCCTACTCTCTCTCTATTCATTCACTTCCCCAGGATAATCTTTATCCGAGAAGATCATGCGCCGGCCGGATTCCCCACCAAGTCAAGAACACTGCCAACCCCACTGTCTCGACCAAGCCCGCCGTTGCACGGACAGCGATGTATGAGTACTCCGCTGGGCCGCGCTCCTGGAATAACTGCGAGACAACCTACTCAATCCCACCATTAGTAAAAACCGATTGCCAACCTCACTCACTAGGCCAAGGAGCCGGGAAAAAAAGGGGAAGAAAAACTAACAGTAGGAACCGACGTAGCTGCAAACACCAGCGCACCAATATATGCAGCGCCCTTATAGCTCACTGCTGCGGAGCTATTTAGCAGCGCGGCAAGGGCGTACGTCTGCGCGCTCGACCCGATGAGTGAGGAGCCCATCAGCGTGGCGGACTTGATGGCCTCCTTGGACCTTGCAAACTCCGACTTGGAGTCTGCCTTCATCGCCTTGCGGTATGTCTCGCCGAAGAGTGGAGACATGATGGCCAGGTTTGTAGTGTGGGTGAAGAGCGTGCCCAGCGCGACGGCACTGGGCTTGACGGCCGGGAGGTACTGGATTGTGGGGAAAGTTCCAGTGTATCTGTGAGATTTTTTGTTGGAATGTGGGCTTGGGTGATTGAAAGAGGGGGAAGGGGGGGAGGGAGGGGACGTACGAGGAAGACATTTTAGGTGAGTGTGTTTTTGCTTGCTTGTTCGTTCGATTCTGAATTAAAATGACTTTTTTTTTTTTTTTTGAATGGGTCGACCTGTTCGTTAATCAATTAAAGACAATGGAATAAGGAAAAGAAATAGATCCACGGGTAGTCTCTAGTATTTAAAGAAAAATCCCAACTCACCTTATATCACACATGCCATAATTTACCTTCCCGCCAATTCGTATGTATGACCGCATGCTCGCCCTGGCCCCGGCCATCCCACCCAGACTCGAGTCAAGTCCTCCTTCTTCCCAACAAACCAGGAAATTCACAACTAGAATTATCTAGTTTAACCTCATACCTTCAAGTGTAGCGGAAAGCCATTGACAGGCATAGTGTATGGCCGCATAAGGCATGTTGTTGCCGTCACTGGGATTCACAGATTTGTGATGTCATGTATCGTCACCACCTCCCATCACGGCGCCACAGCCAGGATTTTTGGTATCATAGCCACAGCTTGGCGGAGCGAGCGGACGTGGGAGTTGATTGGCGATTGGGAAGCCTTGCGGGAAGGGTGGCTTTGGCGGTGGCTTGCGCGGGCTTTGAAGGAGAAAGCCGGTGTGACAGACATTGGCTCTGGGTGAAATGCTCGGGTTGGTTGGGATGCTGGGATGCTGGGATGTCAGGTTCGATGGTGGTGAGTTGTTATTCAGGTGCAGTAAATTTACAGTGAGGTACATACCGCGCGATAGGTTCAAAATGGCCACTCACTGCGTTCATGACATCGCAGTGCAATTTCCGATGAACAGTTGTGCTCAAATTTGGGAGTGTGGCAGAATCAATTTTGTTGATGTCGAGCTCAGCCTTTTTCTCCTTCCCCATCCTGTGTTGTCAAAGAGGCATCTTGATGCTTAGACTATGATACCCCGGCTTCAATCCGACCCTTTTGCGATCCGCCACAGCGAGTCCAGTAATTTCTCCGCGAATTAAGGAAGTTCAAAACCGCTAGATTTTCGGATTGCGACGTACTAGAATAAGGCATTCTGGGGAACCCTTATTTTTATTTTTATTTTTTTATTCCATTGTTTTTGGTGCCTGGGAAGTGGGGCTCTGACAGCTACCGCGATCCCTCTGCTCAGTTTCAGTCGCCTGCGCCTGCCTTTGAATTTTTGGTGATAGTCCACGGAGGCAGTCCGAACTGTCATGCGAGTATCGGCACCGTATAGAGAATGCATCGCTTTGATCCGTCAGCGAAATTCCCATATTGAGCTCCATTTAATATGGCACCATAGGCGGGTCTCTTCGTAGGGGGTAGCTTGCGAACTTGTGTCTTGCGGCAGAGGTGTGCATCTTAAGTTATGACCCGCAGGTGTTGACTTACAAGTTACAATGTAGAGAGAGAGAGAGAGGGAGCCCACGCCTCCGAAACGGTTTATCGCTTTGTAGGTCTATACAATCGCTTGGGAGTACTATCATTATCATTATCGTTATCGTTATCATCACTATTATTGCCATCATAGAAAGAAGAGAGAGGGAAGGGTAGAGGGCAACTGGTGTATTGAGCACTCTCTTCTTTCCACTGTGCCTGTCATCTGTGGCTATCTTTCATCCTTTTCTCTTATTTTTCCTCCTCTCTCAACACCACACACCACTCTCCCTCTTCGCCCGCTCTCAACTCCAACAAAGTTTTCCACCAGCAATCGTTTTAATCTACTTGAGAAAAATTCGGAGAAATCTATCCCTCTCCGCCTCAGCCCTCTAGCTTTGAGCAGTCTACGGGTACACCCGACTGCTTGCGAGAGAAGGCAGACAGAGCCCCAATCTGCGTGTTAGGCTGGGAAAGAAACGTCCCCCGCCAAGGCTTTCCTTCATTTCCCTCCCCCGATTACTAAGCCAATCCTTTCACCCTCCAAATTCACACACCAGCCCGACACTATCACCAGAGCCACCCCAAGGTCCCAAAGGAATAGCTACCACTAAGTCAACCAAAAGAACAAAAGCTATCCCCGGTGCGACCGTTCATCTCCCTTTGAACGCTCCCATAGTTTGAGCTTCTGAGGTCTTTCTCTTTCTCTCTTAGCTGGTGGTATCTTGTTCCAAACAGAATCTGTACCGTTCCCCCCATCGACTGAAGGAAAGCTCTCCCGCCTTCCTCTGTCGCGATCCTCCCGCAACACACAAGAAACCAACCACCCCCCTCCACTCTCGAATTCCTAACCCAATCGTCCAATCAAGCCGTTATTTTTGTCCATCGCTTCAAGAGGCAAGATGTCGAATCAAGTAGTTGTGAGTTTCCTTCCGCTTTCTTCCTGTCCCTTTGTCGCTGCATGCTCCTCCTGTTCCTCCCTCCTCCACCTTCATATGTCCTTGCCCTCTTTTTTTTTTTCTTCTCCTTTTTCCTTTTCCCTTTTTTTGGGAGGCTCCGATTGTCCATGGACGAACTCGTGAACCAGGCGATGTTAATAGGAAAGATAGGGTGAAATTTACCAGCGTATTATTGATGATGTTATCAATAACAGTATCATCGACTTTGAGGAAGCTGGAGTTAATGCATCGACTTTGCAGGAACTGAAGCAGGTTAGTTAAAAAAAAAAAAAGCTGAAATCGTTTTGTTGTTATCCTTTCGCTTTTCGGTCTCTTTCTTTCTTTCCTTTCTTTCTTTCTTTTTTTTTCCGTTGGAAGGGGGGCGGACCCCCCCCTCTATGAGGAACCGGTTCTCTTCTCTTCTCTCTCCCTCCCTCACATTTGCAGTCACCTTTATATGCTGTTGCCTCCTGGGCAGTGTAGGGATTGGAGGGGGGGAGTGGTGTGCTCCGCTTATTTCCTTGTTTTCCTTACCTATTTTACCTCAAATTGTCTTTCCCGAATCGGTTATATTGTGTGCAATTTACAGTTTCCTATCTGAGCTACCCGAGGCTTTCCCCACCACAAGTCATAACCCTTGATGAAGTCTTGGCTGACTAGTCTTTGCTTGTTTTTTTTTGCCTCTTTCTCCCACGATAGGTCTGGCAATCCAAACTCACAGATCTTAATGTCGCTACCTTCCCATGGGACCCCCCATCGGAAACCGTGCAAGCTTCCGGCTCAGCCCCCGCCCCGAATTCGCCTACAAAGGTCCAGAATAATAACTCCCAGCAACAGCAACAAAATACTATCAAACAAGAACCCGGTGCTCAGAACCCTAACCCACAAACCGTCAATGTTGGCGTTAGAATCAAACCAGAGCCGGGAATGGAACCCCAAGGTGTCTACGCCCCGCCTGCACAGCCCACCGGGAATCCAACCCATAATCCGGCTCTCGCTGAGGCAAGAGCACGTCAAAATCTCGCCCAGAAGTTTGGAAATACTCCTCAATTGGCCAGACCTGCTGGCGGTTTAGTTCTCCCCGGTCTCGCTACCAATCCTCAGCAGAGACCCAACGGGCAACAGAGTGGTATTCCTCAGCATGACGGTGGCGGTGAGGAAACCATTCCGATCGAAGGATACGGTAGCATTAGTAGATCGGAAGCGGACAAAATATTACTTCGTCGCATCAGTGATGCTGAACGTGAGAGTGCCAGGGCTACTGATGAACTCGTCAAGGCTTTGATGAACCTTGGGCATTCCTCTAAATCTTCCAAAGCTAAGGGACGCCGTAGGGCTCAAGATCCCTACGAGGAAGCACTTGATCCTTTCAATCATTACCCTCACGCTGCCCCTGTTCCTACTGTTCTTGACGTTTCTAATACACCCAGTCCTCGGCCGGCGCCTATGGGGCAGGTGGACGGAGAGTCTGGTGATGAGGAAGTTGTCGACGAAGACGCCATCAATTCCGACCTCGATGATCCCGAGGACGACGAGATTGACGGCGAGGATGATGACGAAGTCCCGCAGATTATGTTGTGCATGTACGATAAAGTCCAGCGTACCAAGAACAAGTGGAAGTGTGTTCTCAAGGATGGAGTCTTGACTATCAACCAGACTGAGTTTGTCCCCTTCCATCCTAGCCCATGTACAGAGGTAGGCGTGATGCTGACTTGGCTAGGTACGTTTTTCATAAAGCCAACGGCGAATATGAGTGGTAGATGACGGCTCAGGGCGTACGGACTTGGCGAACCTCGGAAAGAAAGAAAAAAACAATTCTCTCTCGACTCAATTCAAAATTTTTGCTTGATCTTGTGGATTCTGCGATGTTACACTCATAAAGTTTTCGGAAGGCGGGATATCAACTGTTTTCTTTACTTTTCTTTTTTTACTTTTTGAAAAAAAGGAAGCACTACTGATCATTGAACCGAATCAGATTTAGTAGTTTATTTTTTGTTACTCACCTCCCCTCTTCTCTTTTGCTGTTTTCTCATGGTGCACGTGTATTGCTTTCTTCTCCACCCATTGCTTTTGATTTCACTTCATTTCATGGACTCTACCTATTCATACTTTGGTGGTCATTATTCAACCCTGTTTGCTCAAAATCATGGATGTAAAATTCCCTTCATCCTCTTATCTATCCCTTTCTCCTGTTTCTTATCATAGCTCCTTTGTTTGCTTCTTCTACTTCTTACAGGTGTGGAAATGCCGATACGGAGGGGACATCCGGTATACGGTACATGCGATACGATACGATGCGATTAAGTAGAAGCGGCGGACGCTTTCCCAACTTTACAATGGGTGTTAATTTGCTAGGGACTTGGGTAATTTGATTCTTTCTTTTGTCCGTGCTTGTTTGGTTGGTGTACGTTATGTTTACGTTACTGGTTTGCTTTCACTCTTGCCTGGCAAGTGCTGTGGGGAGAATGGGGAATGGGACGGAAGGCAGGACAAGGCAAGGCAAGGGGACATGGGATGGATGGAGTGGGGTGGGGTGTATGGATATTATTAAAATAAAAAATTTCTCGCTATTCATTGTGATTGCGACCTGGATAGTCCACTGGCACCATTATCCTTACTGGGGGGAATTACTAGGGGAATGTGAAGTTGGAGTGTCCTCCCAAGTTTGTTGACTAGTTTTTGAGAATTGATTGGTCTCAAGGGATCGTGGAGGCCAGGTTTATCCCATCCCGCACTATAAGAAGTTGAATGATTAGACAATGTGCTATGTATGATTGTCCAAAATTCCCTTCTCTGGATAGGGGGACAAAAAACACAGGAAAAACACATCCCCTTGCAAGAGAGAAAAACAAAAATCTCTTGACCTTACTTAGAGGGAGAGGAAAGCCCAACTACATACGGTAGTATACCGTTCTAATTATTCAAGTTTTTAAGGTACCCACTGTATTCCCCCCGGCGCTGAAAACTTCCCACCCTATCGGCGCAGAGCGGTTGGAAACGTTAGATTCACCCCATCATATAAATCCTCATCGTGAAAACCAACCAACCAACCAACCAAACCCGAAGAAAGCAATAAAAGCAACATCCAGCATAAAATCGCCACAGCACAAGATCCCACACCCCACGGAAAATCCAGAATCGAGTTCTACCATTCCGGTCCGGACCAGCGAAGTTGGTTGGTTGGTATCTGAGTGGCATGCGTGCGAGAGCGAGGTTATCCACCCAAGGGAGGGGGGCTACGAGGTATTGGATAGTTTTCGGTAGGTTCTGTGTGGCCTGGGACACTGGAGAAAAAAGAGACTTCGTATAACGAGTGATATTTTGTGAAGTGGCACTTTGTCATACTTTGCCATAGTTGGGCTTCTTTTTTCTTCCTCCTTCTCTTTCTCTGGATATGGTAAATTTGCCCTTGTTGGAGGGAGTGACTCAACGATTGATCTGTCATACCATACTTTCCGGAAGGAAGGAAGATTGAAGGTGTTGAAACGACGGTGGCTGTTTGAGAAAAAGAGAGGTGAGGGCGCTCGGCAATCTATACGGAAAGGAACCATTTCCTAAGCTCACAGGACTTCACTCGCCACACATTATCCACCATCGCCAACCGACGTGTCGTACTACCCCGCATACCCTATGCTCAACCATTCCAGATGTGGAAGGACACTCCAACAGAAGGGAATGCGGGTGGGTCAGTGAGCGAGCGAGAGAGTATCGCGAAGGACATGACATGATGTCGTCCGGCGAATGTCATGGCATAAGGTCGCACCGATCCAATCCTACCCAGTCAATCCTGCCCGACGAGTAACGGGGTACAGCACTATAATAGCAGTGGAGAAGGGTAGTTGGGTGAAGCCGGCTCAGCTCCCTCCCTCCCTTCTAGTATCATATACCGCGAAACTTTATGGATATGGTACATAACTGGTACTTTGTTATCCAGAGGTAGGCAAGGTAAGGTCGGTAGGTAGGTACTTGAGCATGCTCATAAAGCTGATAGAAAGCGCGGGGGAGTAAGTGAGCGCCTAGTTAATATTATTAAGTTGGAAAAAAAAAAATGGAAAAACAGAACAATGCCCAGTCAACTAGAGAAGTGCGGAGTGGAGTACTAGGTGGATTATCATACCTTCCTGGCAAGAGGAGGAGGAGGATGTCAGGAACAATAGTGCAAGGGATGAAAATAATTATGAAATTATGTTCGGTCCTGTGGGGAATGCTTGAGAACCATAGTAGAACTCTAGGAAATCTAATTAGTTTAATTCATGTCTTTAGAGGGGAATAAAGATTTAAGTAGTAATGCAATTAACTAACTGTTCTGGAGTTTTGATTTCCCTTATAGTGTTATATTTCTCTTCATGATTTTTATTATGTACATGCCTCCCCCCCCTCCTTCCTGTATAAGTCTAAACCCTATTTTTTTTTTTTCCCCTTTACTGACCTATCTTGGCACTTCTTAGCCAGATCTATATAAGAGCAACCCACCCCCCCCCCCTCTTCCTCTTTTTTTCCTCATTGCTCTCTTCAACTTACTCTTCCACATACCTACACATTCAACATAATGTTAGTATCTTGCATTCATACTATGATTGCTTGACTATTGCCACTTGAAGGCATATCTATATGGATAGTTTATTAATATTTTTATTCCTCATGTTTTGCATTCTATCTACCCTGTTGCTTCTTTTTTCTTTTTTCTCCTTTCATTTCAGCTGATATTCTTATACTAATTTCTTTCTTTTTATTAGTAACATTTACTGTAGCATGCTCTACTAAGTGGGTGCTAACTTATTGTGGTGGGTGGGTGGGTAACCTGCTAAAACATCGGAAAATCTCTGCGAGGATGGGTGGGCGGGTGACCTGCCATTACATACCGATGAAACCTTGGGAGGATTGGGAATTGGATTTTTTTGGAGATTTTACTAACGTAAGTGAAAATAGAATATACTAACATCAATAGGAAAATAATCTACAAAAATAAGTATATGAGAAAAAGATTTACTAACTAAAACAGTTGTGGAGTAGGGATAGGCGGGATGGATTTTAGGTGGGCTGGTGGGTGGGAATATCCTGTGCAAGCAGGATTGAATTCCCAGGTGAGTCGTGACCCCCTCCCCTTTTTTTATTACTAGGCAGATAATGACATATAGGGAATAATTATATATGGTGGGATGGAATCATAGGAGGGTTGGTGGGTGGGAATCTACCAACAAAAAAAAATTAATACAGTAGGTAAGTGAGAACTCCTCCCCCCCCCTCCCAATATAAAAAGGTAAAAAAAAAAAAAATACACAGGTGGGATGGAGGAATTGGTGGGCAGGTGGGTGGGAAAATACTAATACAAGTAGGAGAAAGATCCATAAGGACAAATAAAATTGTGGGGATTCTGAGGGATATTAAAAGCTCAAGGGATGAAAATATCTAACTCTAACCTGTTCCTTGAAGAACAGTAATCACTGAGTAAAAGGATATAATCTGATGAGCTTTTTATTTTTTATTTTTTATTTTTTATTTTTTTATATTCTTTTTAAAAAAAATTTTAAAAAAAATCAATTGTCTTTTTTCCTTTATGTTTACTTCTCACTTGCAGTAATTTATAGTGATTGTATAGAAATAAGGAGAAAAGGAGAAAAAACTATTAAATACAAGAATGAAGTGAAAAATAGTATCAGATTCTCAACTATATAGCAAGACCTAGATACAGCTAAATCTTCCTCTACTTCTAGAGGATATATTCTAAACTTATATATAAACAAAACTATAAATATAAGTAAAACTATTTGAAAGTTCCTATTACTCCTGTACAGTTAATTATAAACTTAAAATTCTGTTGTATTAGGTAATGATAAAAATAACTTGTAATTTAATAAAAGTTTCTAACCCAAGGTAAAACGAAATATCTAACCATTTTAAAGCATCAGGTACTGAATTGTTATAAAAGAGTCAGGAGGAGAAAGAGAGAATATTTACTACTATAAAGGTAGAAGACAAAAGGGGAGGCTGACAATGAATTGAGTTGAAGAGTAACCTGTTTGCATAATTCCAGAAACAAAGAATACTAGGATGATAAGTCCAATAAATATTGTTTTTAAATGTTAGCTTAAAACTTTTTCAAAAATAACTATCTTACTCAGTATGTAGAATGATTTTAATTCTCAAATAACTAATTTTGAGAATACTTAAAATTGTATCTCAATTATCTGTATTGCATAATTCATAAAACAAGCTACTTTTAAATAATTTTACACATTGATCCTTACCTAACTACTTTTTAATTACTGTAATTCTCTGTACTATCAAGTAATATTGCCAGTTCTGATAGAGGAGAATATCCAGTTAGTTAATACATATGGGTGCTGATATGCGAAAATTGGCCAGACACCTTAAACCTGGTTTTGAGTTATTAGCCTTAGAAGTTTGTATAGTAACCACTTCACTCTCGAGAAATTCACAAAAGTAATTTTATTGAAACTTTTCCTAATACAAATCCAATAATGGGAGAATCTAATCTTTGATTAACATAGATAGTATTAAGATTGCTTTCTCTACATAGCTATGATAAAAAAAGATTCATATAAAGAGTGAATCCTCACTACCAGTATCAGAATCTGAGGAATATCCTGCAATACTTTCTTCACATAATTCACTAAAGATTCCATCAGCGTTATCATTGTAAAAAGAAGAGTGAATTTGCAATTTATTAAGAGTAAAGTTTGAATTTGAGGAAGTCATAATTTGAGAATTTGAGAAATGATAATAGGAGAAGAATGATGATTCAGTCACTGAGCTTACAAAAACTATTTAAGCTATCAAATCTATCATGAACCAATAGTATACTAGTATCTACGATCTTATAACTATTATACTATTACACTAAAAATTTACTTCACCAATTATCACTCAACCTATTTTACTGATAAGATGTGTTGCATCAGATACCAATAATCAGGATTTCAGGATTCTAGTGCCAGAGTGAGAATTTTCCAAAAATCACAAAATCTATTATAACAGTTAATTCTAAGGGTACAACAGCCTTATAAATATATTTCAGGTAGATTGAGAGATGAACTATTCAACTATGTATTTTTAAAAAAAAACAGATAATTTAAAATTTTAAATTTAAAAGCTAACAAAGGGTTCAATTTTCATGACAAATATATTTTGAGGCCTTTAGATCATACTCTATAAGGTCTAGAAGTATTGTATGCATCGAGGCTAATTTGTTACATTGGGAGAGCGGACTAATTTTCGCATATCAGCACCCATATAGCAGAATATCTCTTATGTGGATCAGATTAACTTACAACTTTGTAAACAGGAGGCTAGTAATTTGAACACAGGAAACTTTATCTTAGAATTACAAATTAGGTAATACAACTTGCAGAATATCTACAAGATATATTAGACTCCCATTCCATAGAGGTATTTAGAGGGAAGAACCAACAATCTCATAGAAAATGAAACCATGTAGCTCCAATCATTCAAATCAGGTTGGCATAAGAGATAAGGAAAAATATAACTTATAATATTAGTAGATAGAGTATCTCATATCTTTCCTCTTATTTTCTTTTAAAACAAAAATACCAGTCATT